AATTTAACGGGAAGCCAATGAAGGGATGATAAGACAGGAGAAATGTGATCCCTCTTTTTTGACCCAGTCAAAAGTCTTGCCGCAGCATTTTGAACAGCTTGCAATCGTGACACTGAAGATTGAGGAAGACCAGAATAAAGAGAGTTACAATAATCCAATCGAGATGTAACAAGTGCATGAATCACAACTTCCATATCCTTCCTTGAAAGAAAATGCTTCAACTTTGCAATAGATCTCAAATGGAAAAAACTTGCTCTAATAACAGCACTAATTTGTTTATCAAAAAATAGAGAAGAGTCAAAAATCACGCCAAGGTTTTTGATTTGTTTGCGTACATTAGTTAAAAGAGAAGCAGGAGACGAGTGTGCAGGACAACCTAATATTAAAACCTGTTTTATCCTCATTCAACTGCAGGAAATTATTAGACATCCATGTCTTAATATCATGTAAACATTTCAATAACACATCAAATGAAACAGCAGTATCAAGCCTTACTGGTAGATAAAACTGAGAATCATCCGCGTAACAATGATATGAAATACTGTATTTTTTGAAAAATGTGGACCAGGAGAAGCATATAAAGGGAAAACAGTAAAGATCCCAAAATGGATCCCTGGGGCACTCCACACAAGACAGGTGCAGAGGATTAGAAAAAAATTCCTAAATTTACAGAAAAAGTCCTGCTCTCGAGATACAAGGCAAACCACTTTAATGCAGTGCCTCGAATACCTACCATACATTCAAGTCGATCAAGAAGAATGTTATGGGCAATGGTGTCAAATGCCGCGCTCAGGTCCAACAATATCAGCACAACACAAGCACTTGAATCCAGAGAAAGCAGCATGTCATTTGTAACTCAATCATATCAAACAGAGCTTTTGGTCTATTCACATTATCAGCAATTAACTGAGAGAAAAGATTTAGCATGTTTTACTGCTATTTGATAATTAGACAGACTTAACTTTAAGATATCAAAGGAAACGTGTAGCTTATCTTTTTTCCACTTTCGCTCTGCTTTCCGACACTCTTGTCTAAGAGCGCGGGTGGTTTCATTTAACCATGGCTGGCTAGCACCCTTTACCCTTTTATGCTTAAGCGGAGCAACAGTGTCCAAAGATGTAGAACAAGCTTTATAAAATCCTTCAATCAAACTTTCAGTATCAGTTTCGTTAAGGATGTCATTGGTAACATGTAAAGAATAATGTTTAGAAAACAAATTTGCAGTGTTAGAATTAATACCTCTAGACAAATGTGAATGCTGAGTGAAAGTAGGTGATGGAGAAAAGCATTCAGATTCAAACAAAACTGGATAAACAATGTCAAAACAATAAAAAATTTATAAAAAATAAAAAAAACAGCTTCTAAAAATTGTTGCAACTCCACCACCATGTCCAGAGAACCGTGGAGAGCTAAAAAATGACTTGAGGAGCAATCTCAACAAGAGGCATCAAGTCACCACGTTTTAACCAAGTCTCAGTAATAAATATGAAGTATAATGAATGCGATGTAAAAAAGTCATTTAAAATAAAAGATTTATTCGATATTGACCTAGCATTCACTAAGGCCATCATTTGTCTTAACGTAGTTGAATGTCATCAGCGTAGCAATGAAAATAAATTTCATGCCGGCTGATGACATGACCGAGGGGGGAGCATGTAAAGGATAAACAGGATGGGGCCGAGCACTGAGCCTTGAGGGACACCACAGGTGACATTGTGTGTCAAGGATTTAGCCTAAAAAAAAAAAGTGTTTATTAAAATAACAAAAGAACACAGAAAAAAAAAATCAAGCAAAAGCTCTACTAAAAAGGTGGGTTTTAAAGCCACATTTAAAAGCATCCACAGACTGTGGTGTCCCCTCAGATGGTCCGGGAGAGCATTCCACAGACTGGGAGCGGCTGAGCAGAAAGCCCAATCTCCCATAATACGGAGCTTGGTCCTAGGTTATGTTGAAATGTTCGCCGGTTCCTGCCTCCTTCTTCCTGACCTACGAACTTTATTACAGAGTGATCATATTTGCGCACCCTCATCAGGATCCTAGCAGCACAGTTCTGAATGTAGTGCAGCTTCTGGAGGCTTTTGCCAGGGATCCCGATGAGGAGCGCATTGCAATAGTCCAGCCTGGAGGAGACAAAGGCGTGGACAAGCTTTTCTGCATCTGCAAGAGTGAGCATGGGGCGAAGTTTGGCGATGTTCCTCAGGTGGAAGAAAGAGGTCTTACACAGATGTTTGATGTGGTCCTCAAAGGTCAGATGAGAGTTCATTTTAACACCCAGGTTGGTGACTGATGTTGAAAGTGAAATATCCTGGCCAGAGAAGGTAATGCTGTTAATGACACATGTTCGGACCTGGTTTGGAGTGCCGATTAGGATGGCCTCAGTCTTGGAGCTGTTTAGCTGCAAGAAATATTGCTTCTTCCACACCTTTATCTCCTCCAGGCAGGTGGTCAAAGTGGAAGATGGCAGGACAGCAGACGGGGTTGAATTTGTCTTAACGTAGTTGAATGTCATCAGCGTAGCAATGAAAATAAATTTCATGCCGGCTGATGACATGACCGAGGGGGGAGCATATAGATGAGAAGTATTGTCATGGGGAAAGGGGATTTACACTTAAATGCAAGGCATTCAAAAGAAGACAATGCAGGCAGGGGGAGGAGGGACAATTCCAAATTCTGTCTGTGTATTATAGCTAAGCCACCACCACGACCAGTGCTGCGGGCTTTCTCCAGGTAGCTGTAACCAGGGGGACATGCGTCATTTAACGCCGAGTAGACCTCAGGCTGGTGCCATGTTTCTGTAATACACAAAGTCTAATCCCTTATCCATGATGTGGTCTTGTATAAAAGATGATTTATTTGTGAGGGATTGTGTATTAAAAAGTTCTATTTTAAGTGTTAATGAGGTAGTGAATCTCTGTAGAGGCCGTAGTAAACTGGAATTCACTCCACATTTTCTGTCCTGCCTGATGTGCAGGGATCTCGCCATGTTTTCCATACAGTCCAGCTTTGCATGCAAAGATCTCACGGTGTTTCCCGTGTTACTAACATCAAGATCGCGACACTGCTGATGGTGGCAGTCGTGCAGCAGTGGTCCAGATGGATGGAATGGCTGAAGCAGAGCAGTCATGCTGATGGTAAACAAACTTACGACAGGAACTTCTGTGGATATAACACGGTTGTCGCAGAAGTCCAAGTTCTTTGATAACTGCAATGCACGTTGGAATGGTGCGGTTGTTGAGAGTCAGCATCTGCGGAAGGGAATACTTGAGCTTCATGCCGATCGCCAAAAAAGCTTGCAGTAGCAGCGCTAAAAGACAGAAAAAATCCAGGTGTACACCCACTGATAGCGAAAAATGACCAACAATCAACCGATGTTGGAGGGGATAACAGTAGGTGAGTAGACAGCCTTCAGTTCGATGATAATCCATGCAAAAAACTGTTAAAACAGAGAAAACGGCGAAAACAACAAGCGCCAACGTCCTCTAACTTCAATTTAAAACAATCCGTGCAAAAAACGGTTAAAAACTATTAAAACTATTAAAACAAAGAAATTGTGACAACAAAGAAGCGGCGAACAACAAACGTCAGCGTGCTCTCCAGCCAAGTTGGTGAGCTTTTATGGTGCAATTATAATTTCTGTTTGAGCAAAGTGATATTTCCAAAATTGATGCTCCGACTCTTACCATTTGATCCGATGGAAGAGCGGCGATATGACGACCAAATGACCGGGATATAATCATTATCATGCGATGGAGTCACAGTCCTCACAAGGAAATCACGGCGAGATCCGCGATGGCTGTACCTGGGGTGGCGTGTAATTCCCAGTGCGGCATAGCGGTTGTATATTTCGCCAGTAGAACGAATTTAGTGTCTGTAAATCCAATGAAGAGTATTTAAGCATCATGCTCGGAAAGCAGTTCACACCGGGATCGAAAAACAGATCTCACTTCGAAGAGCAAACAGTAAAACTCCAGCACACCAGTGCACAGATGATATAGCACCACATTTCAAACTGGATTTAGTTCTCCACGTTCAAGTTCATTCAGATCCACCGCCTCAGTCCGCGCACCGTAACAGGGCAGGCAATGGAATAATGCTCCACAAAAATCAGATGTCAGTACAAAATTAAATAAAATAACATAAAATAGCAGAGAGCAGCGGCAGCCAAACACGCCAGCATTCACTCGAACTGGAAGTTCGTGCATCACAAAACGTGCATCACACGGCTCCGGGGCTTGAATAAAGGCCTCCTGGAGCGAATCCATGCTTTTTTGTAAGTAAAATATCCATATTTTAAACGTAATAAACACTTTTCTCTCACTTCTGCTGACTGTCGTACAGGAGCAAAGGAAGCAAAGTTTCCTTACTTTAGCAAAGGAAAACCAGTCTCCTCTTGGCTTATATCGAAATCCTCTGACATTTTTCTTTACAAATCCTCGTTTTGTACTTCTAATTCGTGACCGGCGTTTTTTCTCTCTCTCTCTCCGCACTCGTCACTCGTCACTAATCACGCAACGCTGACATCCTACGTCATGCACCGGAACGACTTCCGCTTATGACAGATGGAGGAAGTGATAGAAAAGTGTTTATTACATTTGAAATATGGATATTTTTCTTACTAAAGTGCATGGATTCACTACAGGAGGTCTTTATTCATCCCCCGGAGCCGTGTGAGGCACGTTTTATTATGGATGCGCGCACTTCATTGGATGTGTTTTTGACTGTGGTAAAGAAACACCAGCCGACTGCAATGATAACGCTTGGAATAGCCAGGATTTTATACAACTCCGATTGGATTCGTCTGAAAGAAGAAAGTGTCATACAGCTAGGATGCTTTGAGGGTGTGTAAAACACGGGCTAATTTTCATTTTTACAGCAGTGCCCTACCTATATAATTTGAAATTCAGCTCCAAACTTTGATGGCTAGAGCAGAGGCCTGGGAAGAACCACGGCTTCCTACTTCCCGAGAGTGGCCCACAGGTGGCCTCAGGCAAGGACAGGCCACACATCCTCTCCGACCCCCTCTGGATGTGACCTTGCAACATAACCTGCTGTGTAAAAGTGGGAGAGAGCGCTGTACATTCACTCCCCCCACCTACAATCCCTGCCGGTACGAGACTCGAACCCGCAACCTTTGGGTTACGAGTCCGACTCTCTAACCATTAGGCCACGACTTCCCAAGTTAGTGACTATGTTTAAGCAACTGGGCCCTGGTTATAAATAGTGGGTCTGTTCTGATAGTTACAACTTTTTTCTTAACAGGTCCTTTCCTGGATTGTTTGCAAATTGTAGAGGCAAACGACGCTTCACAGGAACATGTCCTGTGCCTGTTAAAAAAAACCTTTTAAGGTCAATTTCCACCTATTGCCGGCCCAATGCGAGAGATCCCCAATTGGTCCAGAGCAACTCCTTCATACACAGGCTGGATTTGGATGCAGGACTGCTATTTTAGATGAGAACATGACTCACAGACAGGCTGAATCAAAATGCAAATCCACTGTCTGTCAGTAGGTGGCGCTTAAGGAACAGCAGAAATAGAGCTGTTTCCCCGGTAACCTGTGCTACCTGTCTAGTGCTGCTCTTAGAAACACTATGTGTTAAGGCCCTTTCACACGGGACGCGGCAGTCATGAGTGTCTAGATCAGGGGTGCACAAACTCGGTCCTGGAGGGCCAGTGTCCTGCAGAGTTTAGCTCCAACTTGCCTCAACACACCTGCCTTCAAGTTTCTAGTATGCCTAGTAAGAGCTTGATTAGCTGGTTCAGGTGTGTTTAATTGGGGTTGGAGCTAAACTCTTCAAGACACCGGCCCTCCAGGACCGAGTTTGGGCACCCCTGGTCTAGATCATTTTCAGTAGGAGACATGCGGAAATCAGCAAAACACAGGCAATTTAGGCCCTTTCACACAGTATGCCTGGAAATAATGTTTGCAAGATACCGATTTGATCGAATTTTAGGTAATTTTAGGATGACAAAAAATTAAATTATAGACAACAAATTTAAAGTTCATCGAATGAAGACCAACCTGTTTGTTCCTCAGTATCTTCATGTTTGACTCTGAAAGCTTCTTCAATCTTCAGGTCTTCACTCTCCACTTTAATAAATTCCATCTTTATAATAGTGTCACGTGGATCTCAGTTGCTTCAGCAGGAGTTTCTCTGTGTTTAAGATGAGAATAATTAATAGAAAGAAAGATAAATGCACACTAAATCTCTGGGTGTGTCTCAATCAGCTCCCTAGTTCAGTAGTCAGCACACTAGTAAGGGAGTCAGTCAGAGTGAGAGTTAATGGACTTAAATGACCTGATTAGACAAAAACACTCAAAACTAGCACTGCAAATTATTAAAAGGACACCGATTATACGGACATTTCATATATAGGCATTTACATTTGGTATGTATTGATTTGTAGATTATATTTAATAGATTACACTTTCATGAAAAAAGATGAAGGATCAGCAAATGAAGCGTTGACCACAGATATGAATTACGTGAATGACAGGGAATAATCAGCAATATGCATTGACGCAAATAACTTTATTTGAATGTTTCATTGATATAACATGACACTGAGTTGTTAAAGAAAAGCAACTAGCTCCTACTCATGACCAGCTTGTAACCAACTCAGGAACAGCTTAAACCATCTCAAACCACGCTGCCATGCTTCAAAACATACCTAACCAGCATATGCTGGTTTTTCAACAGGGCAGAGATATTATTGCGTGAACCGATGAATCGGGTTTTTGAACCGGTTCAATGAGCCGAACTGTCCTAAAGAACCAGTTTGCCAAAATGAATCGGACTTTGCATCACTAGTAGGTGATTCGACCAGCTCTCTCTCCAGTGTTAGGATGCAGATTCGGATCAGTGTCATCACAGTTTTGCTATCTAATGTTTACTCATCGTTAAACGTTTGGGAAAATTTGTCTTTGTTTTGGGAACTGAATGGATAGTTTGGGAAATTGGGCCAACTGAATCAGTTACATTGTGTTAGCAAATGAGAAAAACTACAATACGATTAGATTCTTACCTAACACTTCTATTAGTTTCGTAATCAGGATCTTATTATTGATTTCATGTTATTGTTTCGTCAGATGGCAAAAGGCCTATATCAACGATGAAAGTGGAGTGGGCCTCATGCTCGCTTATGAATGCAGAAATTGCAACATGTGTAGGGTATTATGCTGGTCCCTAAATGTTCTTTCCCAACGAAGTGCCCTTCTTATTATCTGCACTCAGATCTCCATGGGGTTTTCCAAAAATGTTCAAGCCATCGCTACAAACTCTAAAGGGTTAACTGTGATGCGTCAGATTCATGTCACTTTACTCAGTTGACTGGTGAGTAAACCAACCCAACTCTGCTCAAACTAAGCGCACACTTACCTGGCTAAAACCCAAACCCAGCTTTGTGCAACGGGCCTCAGGTGTCGTCAACGAGCTGTGGTTCCAGCGCTTACAAACAGTGAATCATTTTCACAACCATTTGATTCAATTGAATCTCTACTGGTTTTTAAAAAGTTCTGTTCTCTAGCATTACTTGTTTATGATGAAATGAGTTTCGTCTTTTGTAAACAACTGTTCATTAATGTTATTAGATAGATTATAGCATTACATTAAAACATTTAATTCATTTCAAAGTTCTCTATAATGGGTTGTATTGATTTAAACTCTTTAAAAGATTAAAAAACAAACCTTTCTTTAGCAGAATCACAGATGCAAAAGCGTGGCGCAGGCTTATGACAGCACATTGATACACCAAAATAAAAGTCCCGTTCACAAGCTAAAAATAATAGAAATTCACACACAGAAACCACATTTAAATGATAAGATAAAGGATTGTTTCAAAGGATAATAGATTTTTACTAAAGCTTCTGGCTCTAAATGTAAGCAAGTGTGAAGTGATCACAATTATAATACGACTACAGAGCAGTTGTGATATTCTCAATCATGAATAAAATCAAGTATCTTGATCTCCATGTTACAGTTTAATTTAAAGCATTTATAATGTAAAGTTAAATATTAAGTTTGTGGTTGCAGAGATCAAGCGTGAACTTTCTGTTAAAGTGCATTATATTAAAGAATGGTGACTGTAAAGGACTGTGTTGATGGTGGGTTTAAAGCAATTGATTTTGACTGTCTGCCACACGAAATGAAATATGAAATATTGACAGGCCGTCAAACAAAGAAATCATGAACACATACACAAACAAGAGGACCAATGAAAAAAAAAAAAAATTTCCGGTTGCCAAAAAATGTAATCACTACTTCCATTTCTGCAGTTAGGGCATTGATTTGTAGAGTGCAAAAATAATTGACGATCAAGTTTGTATTGTTTTATCAACTCCATGTCATCATAACTTACATACATTAGGCTATATCTTTGTTGAAAGTGTGTGTGCTGCCATCTTGTTACTCCTAACTAGGTTAGGAGATCTCTCCAGCTCTCTGACATAATTTTCAAAGGTGAGACCTAGTCTTAACACTTAGGTACCTTTATGAAAAGGTAAATTTTTTCGTTTTGAATGTGTCAAAATTGACAGAATGACATCATTTTACTCTTATTCCTAGACTTAAGTGTTAATAACTAAGGACTAAGTGTAGCTGGTGTTGTCTGCGTTGTTTTTGATGGAATAAAAAGACATCAGCTGACGGTTCGACTCTTCATTTAATCTCTGATAAAAGATAACAGTCTTTATGATGTGAATTTTTTGTCTTATTCTCACTTACAGGGTTCTCGATCATGGTGGCATTCAGTGGAAAGGTGTGCATCCACATATAATTTAGAGACCCCTTGAGAAGCTGAAGACAACTGCAGGCCAGAACCTCACTAGTGGTCCAAGATATTTGGGGAGAGAAGATTGGAAGCAATGGGTGTCCCAGGATTGTGTATGTTTCATAAAAAAAATAAAAAGCTGAAAAAATATTGAATGATGGTCAGGACACAGACGGAGTAGATCGAGTCCATCAACACCCCCAAAGCTTCACAGTCTTTACCTCTTCATGGGTTTAACATTTAAATGCTGTTTAGTGTCTGATGATCACATTATTTTATGTGTAAACAATGCTTCCTTTGCTTGCTTCCACTTCTTCAGCTGTGTTTTCGGTACTCTTTCAGAACATGGATTGCTGGTCATTTTTAGTCAACGGCGGGGAAAGCGTTAAGTAGATTTTAAGTAAATTCATTTGTACATTACCAGTGCACAAAAAAAATAAAATTCATAAAATTCTTCAAAACTCAGAATTAGGAAAATGTTTTGTTTATAAATCATAGTTTTCAAACAATGTAAGTTTATAAGACAGTATATAAATCTATAAAATGCTCAATCAAAAGAGTAAACAACTACAAGCAAAGTCGTCAAAAGATCCGAGTACAAGTATAGGCCAAATATACTTGGACTTTTCTGTCAGTATAAATCACTTGTAAGTGTAATTTTATTTATATTTCTGTGAAGCACACAAAAAGTAAACAGAGTATACTTTCTCATTTTTAGTTTAAAGGGGTCATATGATGTTGCTAAAAAGAACATTATTTGGTGTAATGAAATGTGTTTATGCGGTTTAAGGTTAAAAAAACACATTATTTTCCACATACTGTACATTATTGTTTCTCCTCTATGCCCCGCCTTTCTGAAACGCGTCGATTTTTACAAAGCTCATCGGTCTGAAAAGCGAGGTGTGCTCTGATTGGCCAGCTATCCAGTGCGTTGTGATTGGCCGAATACCTCAAGCGTGAGACGGAAATGTTACGCCCCTCACCATACTGTTGATGCCCTGTCCGGCCGGAGCGACGAGACATAAACATTAAAACCCATTATAAACGAGGCATTTGTTGCATCAATGCGTCAGCAACAATACTATACAGCGAGAATCAAAGCTGCGCCTTCTTTCTTTGCGTGAACATTTGGGCGGCGTTATGGAAATCTTCCCACATCGTGATGTAGACATGTGGGGGCGTGTTTAACACTAGAACTACCGGAATTCTATAACTACTAGAATGGCCATAGCGGTCATTCTGACCGTTCATACTAGACTGAACTGAATGCCATTTTTGTCATTTCATATTTACATTCGAAGCTTCTTTTGAGGTTTTACAATGAAGCTTTAAATGTCTGTTGTCATATTTTATGACGTCATCGCCCTAAAAAATACAATATTTTTTGTAATATATAATTGTGTAAGAGCTATGTAGACTGCTCCCGAATGTGCGTGCGGCAAGCAGGAGAGCAAAAGTTTTTCACCGCAGTGAAAATGTTGTATTTGAAAGTCTAAATGCCAACAAATATGAACCGAAGCAGAATATTTCTGTAGATAAAACGTTGTGAATTTTGGAAATGATTACTTACATCTTTTTTTCAATACATTTTTACTTTTGAACTTTACAACGCTCTGAAGTTATTGGAAATGTTTGGATCACATGAATCGGAAACAATTAGATATGCAGCCACCACTGGAATCGTGATCCATGAATAAATGGATCTGTTATGATAGCATAGGTAATAATAAACATCGTCACTGTCGCTAAAACAAAGCCTAATTAGTTTGTTTTATTTCACAATATCAGTCTTGTCGGGGCTAAAATAATTTTGGCTTAGCAATAGAATATAAAAACAACTAGAACAAAAGTTGCTAGGCAACAGTGACGCGCATCTTCAACCGCGGGAAAAAGTCGCAAAAACAGAAATTATACGCCGTCTGTAATGCGAACGGTCAATCTGACCGCTTTGGCCATTCAAGGTAGAAATACTCAGAACTCTTTTGTGTTTTGTAATTTTAATAAAATAACAATGTTATAATAAAATATACACACATTTAGGAAAAGTCAGGGTATTATAGTTTTATGGGTTTTATTTCAACGAAGTTATTACATTTTAAAATTTAAAAACGGTCAAAATGACTGCCTTGGTAGTTCTAGTGTTAAATCAAAAACTGCTCATTCTGTATGTCTGCAGCCTCTTTGTTTGTATTATGATTAAAATGCAGAGGTTGCCTCTCATTTTAAATGGAAAGTGCACAGACAAAGCCTTAGTTTGTCTATATGAAGAGATTTCTGTTAATTGTGTTATTTATTTGATTTGGGATTTGTTAAAGGGCACCTATTATGCCCCTTTTTCAAAGATGTAATATTGGACTTGTGTGTCCCCAGAATGTGTCTGTGAAGTTTATCTTATCTATTCACGAACAGCTTGTAACACTCCAAAGAAAAAGGAAAACTTGAAATCACATCATATGACCCCCTTAACAGAGTATACCAACAGCACACTTGAATAAACTTCTTTTTGTAAGGGGACTCTTTAACTCTTTTTTAAAGAACACAAACACGGTCTCACATTTACATGACTTTCCATTTGTATGTCTAAGTTTGATGTTTTTATTACACTGATCACAACTTAATTGTCTTTCTCCAGAGTGAATGCAACAATGAAATTGCTCCTTTTCCTAAACCTCTCGTCACACTGAGGAAAACAGCAGTTTCTCTCCAGAGTGAGTTTGCAAATGCCGTTTCAGTTCTGTGTGATATGTGAAACTATTTTCACACTGAGGACACTTATAAGGCTTCTCTCCAGTGTGAACTCTGATGTGAGTCTTAAGGTTTCCTTTATTTGTGAAGCTCTTTCCGCAATCAGGGCAGGTGTAAGGTTTCTCTCCAGTGTGAAGTCTCATGTGATACTCAAAGTGTCCTTTAACTGTGAAGCTCCTTCCACACTGAGTGCAGGAGAAAGGCTTCTCTCCAGTGTGAACTCTCATGTGATTCTCAAAGTTCACTCTTTGTTTGAAACTCTTTCCACAGTGATGGCACATGAAAAGCTTCACTCCGGCGTGAGTTTTTACATGATTCTCAAGGTGATTCCTGTCTGGGAAACTCGTTCCACACAGATGACAAATAAAACAGTCCTCTCCTGAGTGAATCCTCATGTGATGATTAAGGCTTTCTTTATATCTGAAACTCTTTCCACAGTGATCACAAACAAACGGCTTTTCACCAGTGTGAACTCTCATGTGAATCTTAAGGATTGCTTTGATCTTGTAGCTCTTCCCACACAGTTTGCAGGAGTAAGGCTTCTCTCCAGTGTGAATTTTTATGTGGGCATCAAGTTCTTTTTTCTGCTTAAAACTCTTTGCACACTGAGAGCAGATGAACAACCTCTTGCCGGTGTGATCTTGCATGTGAACTTCAAGATGTCTGTTTAGCGAGAAGCTCTTTCCACACTGAGAGCATATAAACGGCCTCTCCCCGGTGTGGATTCTCATGTGAATTTTAAGATTTCCCTTTACTGAGAAGCTCTTCCCGCACTGCTGGCAGGGGTAAGGCTTCTCTCCAGTGTGGATTCTCATGTGAATATTAAGACTTTCTTTTCGTGAGAAAGCATTCCCACACAGTTCGCAGGAGTAAGGTTTCTCTCCAGTGTGAATGCTCATGTGGGCACTAAGAGTTTTTTTCAGTGTAAAACTCTTTCCACACTGAGGGCATATGAACGGCTTCTCTCCACTGTGGATTTTTAAGTGGATTTTAAGGCTTTGTTTTCGACTGAAACTCTTTCCACACTGCTGGCAGCTAAAATGACTCTCTTCAGTGTGGACTTCAAGGTTCCTAGTTTCTGTTTTATGAGTCTGTGAGAAACTAAAAGATTTTTCCTCAGTCATAAAGTCATGACTTTTCTCATACTGATTTTTCTCTTCCATTTTATTCAGATCTTGATACTCCTCTTTCAGCGGCATCAGGTCTAGGGTGAACAGAAACAAAAACA